CACCGTCACAATGGCTACCCCGACTCCAGAGGACCAGCCACGCTCACAACCTAGCGTCGAGCCGACGCGCTCTTACGAGAACAAGACCGAAGCAACTCTCGGTCACAGTCACGATGCAGCCCCTGGGCCCACAGCACCAGTCGATAGCGAGAAAGGAGCTGGGAGCGCCGACGGCGACGACGACAAGGCGGAAGAGGGCGACTACGCCACCGGCTTGAAGCTCTTCATTCTCATGACTTCCCTCTTGCTATGCCAATTTCTTGTCGCCTTGGACATGGTGAGTCTGCCACTTGCTTCCTCCCCTTATTCCTCTCTTCCGTGAGGTTTGCAATCATTTTACCTTACTAACACCGCATGCCAACAGAGTATCATCGCCACTGCCATTCCCAAAATCACTCGCGAATTCCAAAGTCTTGACCAGGTCGGATGGTATGGTTCCGGTTTCCTCCTCACCCTCGCCGGCTTCGTCTCTCTGTGGGGCAAGGCCTTCAAGCATGCCAGCATCAAATGGGTCTTCTTATCCGCCGTGGTCGTCTTCGAGCTTGGGAGCTTGATCTGTGGTGAGTGGACTAGCATCATACCAATTCTCCAATAGTCGGTTCCTTGTCCAGTGGCTGATTCGGCCTTTACATCACAGGTGTGGCTCAGAATAGCACTACCCTCATCGTCGGTCGCGCCATCCAAGGGTTTGGAGGTGCCGGCATGACTAGCGGAGTCTACCTCATTGTCTCCGTCTCTGTCGTCCAGAAGCTTGTCCCTGCCTTCCTAGGCCTTCTTAGCGGTATCTTCAGTGTTGCTAGTGTCGTCGGCCCCCTTCTTGGTGGTGCATTTACGGACCGTCTTACTTGGCGTTGGTGGTGAGTGCCTACAGCATTGCAGCTCCGTATTACCCTGACATTGAGGCGCCCCTGTACTGATCTGACTCTTCCTCAGCTTTTACATCAACCTCATTGTCGGCGCGCCCTCCATTCTCTTCCTCGCTTTCTTCTACAAGCCTCCTGCTCACCACAAAATTGAGCCCATTGGCTGGAAGGACTTCATCTATACTTTGGACCTGCCGGGCGTCGCTGTTGTTCTCGGCGGGCTGACGTGCTTCATCCTTGCCATTGAATACGGTGGTGTCACCAAGGCCTGGAACTCGGGCACCGTTATCGGTCTGCTGGTCGCCTTCGGTGTCCTCGTCATAGTCTTCATTGTTCTCGAATGGTACCAGGGTGACCGTGCCCTGCTTGTTGGCCGTCTCATGAAGCGGAGGACTATCGCAGCCTGCGCGGTCTTCGTTTCCATGTAAGACTCCTCCACCTCGTGTAGAATTTGGTTAATCTTGCTGTCAGGATCAACTTCTCTTTCTTCCCCTTGGCCTACAATCTTCCAATCTACTTCCAGGCCGTCAATGGGGTTTCCCCCTTGCAGAGTGGTATCCGATTGCTGCCAACTATTCTTCCCATGAGTAAGTTCAAGTGCTCATTATCGTCGATAACAAGAAGCTGACCACATCGTCTTCAACAGCGCTATTCAGTCTCTTCTCCGCCCCAGGTATCGTGCTGGTCGGATGGTACCAGCCGTGGCTAATGACCGGCGCATCGCTCGCCGCCATCGGAGCCGGCCTCATTTACATGCTAGACATCGACTCCACCAGCGCGCAATGGATCGGCTTCCAGTTCGTGGCCGGCGTCGGTACGGGTCTGGCGATGCAGCCGCCCGTCATCATCGCCAACGCCATCACCCCGAAGCAAGACAACAGTATGGCCATGTCGGACGTGCTCTTCTTCCAGTTCATCGGAGGCACCTTTGGCATCGGCATGGCGCAAGCCATCTTCAACAACGGCCTCATTAGCAGCTTGCCCGAGCTGGCACCAATGGTTTCTCCGGCCGAGGTCCTCAGCATTGGCGCGTATGACTTGAAGAACGTCTTGTCGGGCGATGCCCTGACAGGCGTGCTGAGAGCGTACATGCGCGGTCTGCACAATGCCTGGGCCATGAGCATCGCTGGTGCCGCCGTCGCCGTGTTCTTACCTCTGCTGGGGGCCTACATGAAGCTCCCCAAGACGCCTCCCAAGAGCTGGGATGAGAAGCCGACGGCCCACAAGGCCGACGTACGACCTTAATTTCTGGTTGGTGACTAACCTTTTCAAGTCCAGAAACGGGCCCCTGGTAGCAGAAACGCCCTCCTTGAGAACCAAGACTTACACATGGGAAGCTACCAGCGGGAGACGGGAACTTTTCCTGTGAAGATATGATCTCTCCGGGTGTCCTCTTTCCTTCGTAGTTCCGGTAGCAATTTGAAGACAGAAACGGCGTGATGGATCGTAACAGGGTTCAGGATTACGGTGTAATACATTCACTGGCATAGAAACCGTACGAAAATAGACACATTTCCTGTACGCGTGCGCAATCCCGAACTTTTGTGTCGACCTCTCGTGCAACCCAAGCTCAAGCATCCATATCGGCCTAGTGAATCCTATGAAAAACGCACTGCTTGCCTACGTCGAAATTGAGTTGTTGTGGGCCTGAAGAGGTTATCCACATGATCGTCCGTCCGAACTACCCGTAAATGGACGCAAGGTCAAAGTTACCCGCCACACGTGGCTAGCGCATCGGTGGCTGGATTACGGGAGGCAAAGCTGTGATCGTAATCATTGATGATGGAACGGCGAAAGCTATAATCTGACAAAGTCGCACATAAGGTACTCGGGAGGTGGCACATTCAGCCGTTAGTTTGCTCTGACATGTGAGAATGGCTCTGTCCAGCGAATGGAATTGAGCGTGGTCCCGTTAGTTGACGGCTTCTGTCGGTCCGTTCCGTTCCCGTGGCTGGAGGTACGTACCTTAAATGTTGGCGACGAAATTATCTTCCACTCAGTTCAGATGCTTCCAGGTTGTCACTATCTTTATTTTCTTTTTTATTATTATCTTTATCGATGTTGTTGATATTTCTTTTCCCCGATACTCCCTTTATATTCCGTGAAGAATATACCTTAAACAGCCTAGATAAGGATTATATAGAATGTGAAGATAATAAGGACGGGAAGAGTTTCACCAGTGTAGGATCTCATGAAGCGTATGCTTGGGCATTGGCTAGCCTCCTATCTTGTCACCGACGGCCGCCTACATACTCGATATAGTGTGCCATACAAATCGCGAGATTACCAGGCATTTTGGACTCATTCTGGAGTCGAATGCGCGTCGCGACGTTGTGCCTGTGTACTTCGAGACTTCCGTTAGGTTTGGTCCATGCCTTAGGCGCAAGCACACCCAGTGCTGGGTGGAGACCGTCACCGAACGGGCGGCCGCCACCCGAAGTCATGCCGGGTTCCGAAAAGGAAAGTACGACCAGAAAGGGACCTTGCCTTAGCGCCCCTTAGCAGCCGTGAGGGGTCCATCTGATTTGGATAGACACGCCCCACCCCCTTCCCTTTCAGCCCTTCCTCCTCCGTATCTCTTATTCATCGACCATATCTTCTCGCGTGGAAGCCAAGCAGGCAGAAACCCGGGATGGATGAGGTGCGGTTGCTTACGAACTAATTGCCCATTTGAGGATGATCTCTCTCAAGGACTGCAGCAACTAATTCCTTCGAACAAACAGACCGAAAAACAAAATAACCGATTCGTCAGTTTTCCGCTCCGTTCAGGACCAGCTCAAGACCCAAGATAATACCCCCACCGCCTCTTGCAGTATCAACAGCCCTAGATGGTCCGCCTATAGTCACAATGGAGCAGCCGAAATGATGAGAATCCTCTGTCTTCATGGCTACGGCACGTCCGGAGCCATCCTTCGATCGCAGCTCGACGCCTTCATCCACAGGGCCGACGCGAGCTACGAGTTTGTCTTCCTCGATGGCGAATACGAATGCCAAAGAGCCCACGGTAAGTCATTTCGTCTGTTCTACATGTAACCCTATGCGGTGCTGATGTGATCTTAGGTATTGGCAAGTTCGCACAGCCTCCTTTTCGTTGCTTCAATCAATCCTTTGGCCCCCATGCCATCCAGTCGTCCCTTGACCACCTCCAAGACTTCATTGACGACGAGGGTCCTTTTGATGGTCTCTTAGGCTTCAGTCAGGGCGGCTCCTTGGCTCTCGCCTACCTGCTTCAGATGGCCGAAACCATGGCGGCCAACCCCGGAACTCCGCCCACCTTCTCCTTCGCAGTCTTCCTCTCTACTATCGTTGCCTTCTCCCCGGACCCGGACTTCTGCTCTCACCTCATCACTGACCTCACCCCTAGCGACCGCGGCAATGTCCTCGCAGGCTTCCCCCGCGGCGCCACCCACAATGACTACGCCGCCCTCACCGGGCCCCCTGAGCGCGCTATTTTCTTCAGCTCCCTCGGAAAGGTCCTAGAGACATCCATCGTCGGCGGCTTCATCGCACCAGACACGCCTCTTGGTCTCGAAGCGCTGCTACATCCCACGTCGGTAGCCACGAACAATGAGATTGACCATCTACCGCGCATCATGCATCCCGTCATCACCTCGCCGGCCTGCAGGGTCCCTGTACCTACCGTCCATGTCGTCGGCGTCCTTGATGACCCGCTACTGGTCAGCATGTCGAAGCTGATGGAGGGTCTCTGCGAGGTAACGCTGACGCGATCGCTGGTGCACGACGGTGGCCATGATGTGCCGAGGAAACCGAGAGATGTGCAGGCGCTATGGTCCGCCGTCGAATGGGCTACACGAGAGGCGGCGAAACAGGTCTGGTAATCTGGGTTGTGGCAGCGGAAGTGCTGATGATTCTGGATTCCAGGTATGTCGGGTGGTTGATTTCGGGTGGTTTTACTTTTCTCAAGTTGTCCTTGTGGTGTGGTGGCTGACGACATGGAGCCCCCAACACTCAATTGGCGAATTGATACCACGATTCTCGGTAGAAAATACCTGGATTTGCATTCGAGTTTTCAGTAAGACTAGATAGATGAAGATCCAACCATGAACAGAGTTTTCTCCCATTCCTGATCTCTATTCTAGTCCTAGCCATCTTTTTACACAATCTCCGAGCACCAAAATGGAAAAGCCTGCCAGGACGACCCTGAGTACCACTCGTCCTTCGGACAACTGGTCATCCAAGGGCGGGTGGTACCTCGTGTGCGCCTACTGCGCCTGGGAGACCATCGCTCTGACGCTGTCGACGCTCTACTCCTTCGCGCAGCCAGTCGTGCAGGAGAGGTATGGCGTGGGTAACGTCCAGATCGTCACGCTGGGCCAGTCCATGCAGATCATGGGCAATATGCTAGGTGTATCGCTGTTGAGCCCCCTCTCGTATGACTCGGAAGACAGTTCCCCTTGATCGCGTCTTCCACCTTGCTAACCTGACGTGACGTTAGGGATGTCTTTGGCCGTAAGAGAGTGACAATATTCTCCATGCTGGCTTACTCCATCCTCAATCTAGTCAGTACATCCCCACAAACCCCCTCTGTAGAACCGTGTCACAGGCGGAGGGGGACCGTCTATATTCGGGACTAACCAGGAGGGTACAGGGCACAGCATACGCACCCAACCTACCCACCCTCATTGTCTTCATGTTTCTGAGCGGCGCCGCCTGGTCAACCTCCCTCTCGCTCGTCCCCGCCGTCTTCAGCGACCTGTACCTAGACAGAGACGACATTGGCCAGCCCATTGCGCTCTTTGTCATCGGTGCCAGCGTCGGGCCCACCCTCGGCGGTGTCGTCGCCACAGCTCTCATGGACGCCGGGGCTGATCTCAAATGGTACTTTTTGATCACCGTCTTTGTTAGTGCCGCGTGCGCTATTCCCATGTCTTTTGTGCCCGAGTCTTCCAATGCGGCCCGGGCCGGTGATGGAAGCAAGGCCACCGGTCCGGTTCCGCAGACTAAGCTTGACGCCGGTCCAACCCCCCGTGGGGGGTGGTATTTCCTGACGAGAGTCTGGTACCTTCTCGCTACAGAGCCCATCATCTGGATCACGGGTATCTACAACGGCCTCGCTAACGGTGTCTTCGTTCTCACTGTTGGGGGGTCCATCACGACTCTGACGGATTTCAAGGGTCTTCCGTAAGTAACCTTTAACTGGGACCTTTCTTTCCTCCACGTTCTCCGCAGACTTGTCCAGCACACACCGAATGACTGACACGCGACAAAGCCTGATGGAAGCTGCCATCTCCATCATCTTCATGGCCATTGGCGTGGTCCTCGTATGGTTCGTGATGCCCACACAGACCCGCCTCTACAGGGAAGACAAAATACGACACCACGGCAGCGCCATTCCCGAATCGCGACTCCTGCTCGTTCAGGACGTGATCTGGATGTTCCCCGTAGCCTTATTCTGGTCCGCTTTCACAGGCGGCGCCGCGTGGGGTAAGTGGCACCAGGCCTTGACGGGCGGCGTCGTTGCGTTTACAGACTCGTTCCTGTACCAGTGCCTCTTGATCTACATTCTGGGTAAGTCACGAATGCATCATGTCGCACATCCCATACTTTCTACGAGACGATGGAATGCTGATGCGAGAGTCTGAACAGATTTGTACCCTGAGGAAGCCGCATCCGCTACGGCGGCGTGGCTGATACCCTGTTTTCCTGTACAGGCTGCAGCTGTGCACTTTGGTGTCCCCATGTTTCAGAAGCTCGGCCCGGAGTGGGCTTTTGGTCTGCTGGCTGTCTTTACGGCTGGGTTTGTGGTACCTGGGTTTTACGCCATCAAGAGATACGGACTTGCGATGCGGGGGAGGTCCCCCGCGACTAAGAAGGGCTTCCGGCTTTGACTTGGCCGGTGCTTTTGTCTTGTGTTAACTATCACAACTTGCCGCCTGCCCGCGTGGAATAATGAGCAGGGTAGTTGATGGCTGGAGATGGTAAGCACTGCCTCGTACTATTCTCTACGAGGTCTTTACTTTGTGTTCTGGAGGTCTTGCTGGGGCATGTAGTTCATCGCTTGTCTTAATGGCTCAATTTCAAAACACAAGAGTCAATGAACTAGAACCTATCATCACGCTGTAGACACGAAGTGCTGCGGGGGACTATAGCAATGGTATTAACATGTAGAATCGACAACCCATTGAAGATATGAGATCCTGAACTCACCCTTCTGTAAGCTACCTTGCTTAACTATGGATGTTGTGGCATTGAATAGGATGATAACTTCACCCGGAGCTCAAGCGTGCTCGTCCTTTATTGTGCGAGCTTCGCCATAACCTAATCGGGCAAAAATGCGCTGTCTTGACCAATCAGGTGGCTTCAACGGAAAGGCGCACAGTTTCGCATGCGGAATAGATCTCGATTCAACCCCCTTAGTCTGCGCCGATGAAAAAATTGCAATCAATCATGTAAACATGGCCAAGCAAAAGTGAAGAATGAGGTGATCTTCTACTTTAAACACCAGAACTTGCACTTGCGGCCAGCAACCTGACTGTATCACAGGAACTGTGAGACACCTCCAAGATAATCACCCGAAGCCGATGCACTAAAGTGCCCGAGCTGAAAACTCGGACACAACATTAAAAACGTACAATGCCTATCCGACGTCAGCAGCCCGCTCTCCATGTGTCATTGGATTGACGTACGTTTTCGACTCGAGGCAATCCCAGAAATGTCCGCCACCACAGAGATCAAGAGATGGGGCAAGGCGGACTTGGATGCGTTCCTCGGCAGCCTGCCCACGGAGGTAGACACGTCGACGCAGTACCCCGGCTCGTGCCTCTGCGGCGGAGTCCGGTTCTACCTCGCGGGCGAGCCCCTCAAGAAGGTGTTTTGCTACTGCGATCACTGCCGCAAGAATTCGGGTGGCACTGGCCAGCAGGTGCGGATATGACTTCGCCTCCCCTTTCCCTTAGCTCCACACCTGAACGATTAGTAGCTAACACAACTTTTTCTGGTCGCAGTACATCATCTATCAGGCGGAGAATATGACGATTGACGACCCTAAAGGCTACAAGACTGTCTACACCATCCCGGGAGATACGGTAACGCTGTTCCCCAAGGAAAAGTACTTTTGCAGCCAGTGCGCGTGCACGCTCATCGTGATGCCGCTCATGCTGGAGCGGAAGCTCGCCTTCGTTCCGACGGGTCTAATGAATCATGGGTAATTAATTCTCAACAACGGTGTACCTTTTCCGTTTTGGCTTTAGACACCGAGAGGTTTTTACTGACTGGTCAATGTAATAGCCTGGACTACTTCAAGCCTGACTTTGAGTATTTTGCGGATAAGCGTCCGGGGTTTTTGGGTCCAATTCCTGGTGCTGGGTCCTATAAGGTGCAGGCGGGAGAGCATGTGCCTTTGGACGATACGTCGGTGCCGTCATCCTAGTAGAGGTTTTCTGGTGATACCGCAGTGACGGGGGAAAACGGTGTACTATATCAGAGATTTTGACCTGTCATTCTCGTCAATTTGATGGCATCTCAGGGTCTGAGCATTTCTGTGCGACCGAGCCTCTATTACACGATCATCTGGACTAGTGATCATGAGCAGTGCCAGCATCCCCCAGTTCGCACGCCTTGATAATGGGGTAAGTAAATCTGGAGCAACTACTTCATCATAAAGAACTACAATTCGAGTAAGATGAGGCAAAGGCGGTGATATATGATCGAGATTGGTCAAGACACACAGCAAGCCATCGGCGGAGACCTGGGTTTCTTGATTCACAACGATAAACCTTACTCTAAGTGCAGCGACTTTTGAGGTCGCTCACCCTTCTACAATTGAACCATGTACAATTCAATCTACGCACTGGTCCCAATCACCATAACCCTGACGCCTTGTGTCCCCTCCTTTGGGATGGGCACGAAATAATCGGCCGCCATGTCAACAGCATCCCTGCCAGTCTCGTAGAGCTCGATATCCAGCCTCCGAAACACCGTTGCCAGCCCGATATACAGCTCTGCCATGGCGAAGTTCATCCCTAGACACATGCGCGGCCCCTTGCCGAAGGGAACCAGATACCGCGACAATGGCTTACCGGACGCCGTCTTCGGGTTCTCCAACCACCTCTCGGGGCGAAAGACGTCGGGATCGGGAAATATTTTGGGATCGCGGTGTTGTATGTATGAGGTCATGCTGAAAGGCACGTTGGGTGGAATCACGTACGACTCGTAGGTGATTGGGCCGTCCGGGCTGATGCGGGAGAGGCGCTGCGTGATGCCGAAGGCCAGTCTCAAAGCTACGGAAACACAAAGACTCAGACTTCAATCTCTTTATTGATGCCCTTGAAGAAGTGGTGCCAAGGCTTCAAGAAATTGGAAGACACTCACATTCCTGAACGACTGCATTGAGAAAAGGAAGGCTCTCCAGTTCGTGGAGAGGCGGCATAGGCTCATTGGCGCGAGGAATCCGATTCTTCAACTCTTCGCGTAATCTACTGAGAACACTGGGATTGTCGAGTATATGAAACGTCGCAAGCGCCAATGTGGTCTTGGTCGTGTCAATGCCCGCGCCTGTAATACTGGCCGCTTCGTGCTTCAGGCGCTCGACGGACAGCTCCTCGGGCGGCAGATTCGACTGCAGAAGTTCGTGGAACACAGTACGATGTTGGACACCTTTATTCGAGGTGTTCTGTCCTGAAATGACCTTAATGATCTGGTCTTTGACCTCCTGTTGTTGGTAGCCCCCTGGTTAGAGAAATTGATCTACACTACATCCTAGTGTCATTGTACTCACATTGTGAAACCGAAAGACGGGGGCCATTAACGGGTTTAGAATTTGGGTGACTGACTCCGGAAGCGTTTGAAGTAGCGTCAGAAGCCAGGGGAAATGGCCTGCCATGTGGAGAGACATGGCCAGCTTCCTGATTGAGGTCGTAAATGGCGTGACAAAATCAGGGTAGTCAATAAAATTGTACGAGATGGCAAATGTGTAATAATTGATTGCATCCGACACAAATGCCGCGTATGCCTCATTCATATTGACGGGCTCCACTCGGTCGCTATACTCGGTCGCTAAGCGGCCGACCATCTTGTCGGCCATGAGCTGCATCTGCGGGCTGAACCCCGCCACCTTTTGCTTCGCAAAGAAGGGCGAGATAGCGGAGCGGCGGAGGTGGTGGTGGGCATGGTCGATGGTGTCAAAAGAGGACAAGTGCAGCCCGAACCGGTATCGTAGCTTCTCGATCTTGCTGTACCGGGTTTTGTTGTTGAAGAGGACCTCGTAAAAGTCTGGGTCGGCGATGTGAACTTCCCAAGGCGTGATGCGAACAATTGGGCCTGCCCGGGGAGTCAGTGTCTGGAGTCTCAATTTCCAATACACCGTGAGCAAGGCGCATTACCGTATTGTCGGTGCCATTCTTCGATCTGGAAGGTGAACTGCCCTCCCTTGAACACATCCAAGTACGTCTCATACCAACCAGTTGCCGCCGTCAGCTTGGACCCCGGGATATGCGCAATCGGGCTGAAATAGAGCCGGTATGTAATTAGGCCAATTATGTAGACCAAGTAACCTAGACCCAGGGCCAAAATAATGGGTTGGGGGCTGAGAACACTTTTGATTTTGACGTCTTCGAGATCCATTGTGTAAAGCCAAATGGGTATCCCCCTGAAATGGTCGATACGGCAGTCTTTTCGAAGGGGCCTCGGCTGAAGACATCGAATATTTGGAGACAATGATGTGAGTTCAGTTGCGCTACGTATTGTTCCCGGGTGATGTTGTTCATTTTGGTGGTCGGGGGCCGGGGACTTTCCGCGAAGCGGATACGTCGGGCATTTCCGAGATGCAACACCGGGCCAGTCGGGGATGGGAATCCTCAGACATACGCTAGATACATCGGAAGCTTTGTCAAAGTTCACTCCAATTCGCGATCGTGTTGAATTCGAAGAGCAAGAAAAAGGGAACAAGGCGCCTTCAGTCGAGGATTCAGCCAGAGCATACAGAGTTATCGCACATTTCGACCAATTTTTCGACACCCCTAGTCCTCTTTTGCTGCCATCAACAGCCCTCCAGTCAGAATGACGAATATCCAGTGGTACCTGCATCCCTGGTCACTCTTGGTCTACCAGACCAGTCTGATCGTTTTTGCCGTGGGCTTCACACGTCCGGGATCGTTGGTTCGACTGGCCCTGTGGCCACTCGCTTTGTTTACGGTGTTTCGTTTTGTCGCCACAGCTCATGTCTTAAACAATCGCTTTCACATGAGCTTTGGTGCCTCAGACGCCTGGCTGACATTTCTTCAATACTGGGATGTTGCACTTCTTAGCAACTGGGACTTTGAATATGGCGGCCCGCAGCCCAAGGCCATGGAAAAGAGGGAGACGAAGCCGTGGCGTGAGCGCGCGACTTTCTGGAACCGCTTAGGCTTCGGAATTTACGCCGCCTCTTCGTACCGCTGTAGCGGAACTCCCTTTGAGGTGCCGAATCTTGGGCCTTTTGACAAGAAGGATCCCAAATACGTGCCGTCGAAGGCAAAGTACATCCGCAACGCTGCCATCAGGGTGGTGGTTGTCTATCTGATCCTGGATGCCATGACTTCGTTCAATGATCCGGCAGCCATGCAATCCGTCTTCGCTGACGAGAAGATTCCGCTGCTGCGGCGGCTGTCGCAGCTGACACTAGAGGAAGCTATCATGCGGACGTTCACCTCGTTTTCGTTCTGGCTTGTCAATTACCTGGTTCTTATCCTCTTCTTCGACATCCCGGGTATCATCTGTGTCGCGACCGGCCTATCTGGCGTCGAGTGGTGGCGACCGCCGTTCAACTCCATCTTCGAGGCCTTCACACTGCGCCGTTATTGGGGGTAAGTTATTTATTCCGCCTCTAAAAAGGTACCATCTCTATTTCGAAAGAAGTATCACTGACCTTCGCCCTAGTGTCTTCTGGCACCAGTCCGTTCGAAAGCGCATCAACTCTCCAGCCAACTGGATTGCCAAGGACGTCCTTCGCCTGCCCCGGGGAACTCTCCTCGCACGCTACGCTGTCGTGGTCCTCACCTTCACCATGTCCACCTTCCAGCACGCTACGGGCGATGTAGCCTCGGGAATCCCAGTCTCTCGCACCGGGTCTCCTTGGTTCTTCCTCGTACAGGCACTTGGTTTCGTCCTCGAGGACGTCTTCCAGTACGTTTGGAGGCAGGTGGCGCCGGCTTCAGCCCATGACACATGGTACACCAAGGTGTTTGGTTACGTCTGGGTTTTTGCGTGGATGTTTTGGTGTACGCCATTCTATGCATATCCTGTCTCGGCAAACAATCGGGGAGAGCAGGACGCGATTCTTCCTTTCAGCATTCTGAAGGCTGTCCTGGGCAAATAGACGGTGCCTTGGTGTCAAAGGTACACAGTGCTTCCGTCAATAGCTTTGATACGCGGGACATGTGTCAAAGAAAGGATGCGAAGATATGTAAGCATTATCTTCAGAGCCCCTCAACCATAGGTTGTTTTTGTTAGGGGCGTGGGAAGGATATCGGCAAGACATCCAGAGTTGGTGCCGATTTTCTGGCATGGTTTAGGATGCATTGGCTCGAATGTGTTTATTGAATTTTGTCCATAGTGGTGAGTCATAGAGACGAAATTGTCATGTGTACTGGAAAAGCCCATGAATCGACTGAGAAGTAACGCCAAGAGCAATAGATCCAAGGCCTATAGATGAGAAAAACATCAAGAAGGTACTCAAGTTTTTGGAGTCGATGGGTTGAGCTTTTATAGCTTGGTTGCCGCCGCTTGTTGAGAGGATGTAGCGATGACGCCATTCTTACGACTTTGCAAATCTTTGCGATTATGGAAGGAGATTGGTTCAAAAAGATCCAATATGTGCATCTGGAGATACCTTGATTAAGATGATACAAGGCAAATGATGGTCGGAAGACCACTCGACTAAGCTCATTTCATAGGAAAGAACTACTGGTAGTCTACGAAACCCATTCAATCCTCAAGGCAAGTAACTGGGAGGAAATTCAATAAAAAGCTCATTCTATCTCACTTTTTTGAAGGTTTTGCTAAGCGAACGATGCCCCCTTTGCAAACTTCCGCCTAACTTATGAGAATATCTACAAACAGATCTAATATAGCGTATGGGGGACGTCATTGAGAAAGAAGAAAGCAGTCAAAGTACTCCAACAGTTGCTAGTTGACGTCAGTTCGTTCGACTCTAGACTCTCTATGATTCTATTCTATTTCAAAATTATGCAAAGGTAATTACCCTCATAAAAGAAAAGTACGTCAGACTAAAATTACACGTGTTTCGTACCCAATCCTTATGAAACCACAAAACATACAACCATATTGAAGGCATGAAGGGGTTAGTACCGACGTGAGTCTTTAGTACTCAATGCCGTAACGATGCATGTGAAAACGAGGTAGACAAACAGTGAAAGGTACGCGCCCAGAAAGTAACCCTGAAATTGATTCCATGTCAAAGCGACCTGGTTAAGAGTTCCGAATCTGATGGATTTCGGACCAGACTTTTCTGCTGGTCGGGGGTTTCTTTGGTTCTCTCTTAGTGTCTCGGGGCATTTCACTTTCAAGAAAGCCGCCTGTAAGCATAGCGCGTATGCGCGCCGACACATTTGGGATTGGTAAGCTTATCATACACGATTCGGGAATGTTGCCTTTGCCAAAGTACGGTATCCAGATATATAGTGTTAATTTCTGCGATCCAAAAGCCTTTGGAGTGCTACACTAATAGGACACTTCCTCTGCAACTTGGCCATAGACACTTCCATCGTTGATTTCAGACTGGATAGACCGCAGCCCCCGATCTTGCTCACGCGACTTGTATAGTCCTATAGAAGAAATACACTCTCTGCATTTTATCCTATCGCAGGTGGAAGCCTCAACGCAGGCCGTGTACGAGATCCGGAGATGGCGCAGAACAACGTCGTAGGCAGGGTCGATGGTGCGGACGCCTTGGAGCCAATTGCCATCATAGGCATGGCCTGTCGTTTTCCAGGAAGCGTCTCCACCCCGGAAAGCTTTTGGGAACTTCTCAACAACGCCAGAAAGGGCCACGGAGAGGTTCCCAACGACCGTTTCAATGCTGAAGCATGGCGACATCCTAGTCACGAAAGAAAGGGAGCTGTAAGTGGAAAGATCAGATCACTTCGGCGTTCCGCCTCTTAAAGATTGCGGTCACTGATATGATGCATCTGTAGATCCAGCCTGACAGTGGTTTCTTCCTCGACGAGGACCCAGCTGTTCTTGATGCTCCATTCTTCTCTATTACGGCCAAGGAGGCCGCCGGCATGGTAAATGCCCTGCTCTTGATGCATTCACTCAATGATCATCTGACAAGGTGTCTTAGGACCCAATGCAAAGGAAACTGCTGGAAGTAGCCTATGAAGGGTTCGAAAACGGTAAGCATTTATCATTAGAGACGATTGAAGAGAAGGATACAGTTGCTGACAGTCGCGATCTAGCCGGCATTCCCATGGAAAAACTGGCCGGTAGCGACACATCAGTCTACGTCGGTGTGATGACAAACGACTATGAACTGGTCTCACAAACCGATATCTACAACCTCCCACAAAATGCTGCTTCCGGAACTAGCCGGGCTATGTTGGCAAACCGCATTTCATGGTTCTTCGATCTGCATGGCGCTAGTCTCGCGTTGGACACTGCTTGTTCATCCAGTTTATACGCGTTCCATCTGGCTTGCCAATCTCTCCGAACGGGAGAGTCGCGACAGGTACGGTCAAGACCCCCGTATCCCAACTCACTTCCCAGAACCGATCAACGATCAATAGGTACGGTATTCTGTGATGATGAATGACTTGTTGACCATCTGGATAGGCGTTGGTTGGTGGTGCCAATATGATTCTCCATCCGAATTTCATCTCTCAGCTATCTTCAATGCACATGTTGAGCCCTGACGGTATCAGCCACTCATTTGATGCCCAGGCGAACGGCTATGCACGAGGCGAAGCCATCACCACAATCGTTGTCAAGCGCCTAAAGGATGCTCTTGTCGATGGCGACACTATTCGAGCTGTGGTCAGGGGCACCGGTGTTAACCAGGACGGTCACACACCTGGAATCACAATGCCCAGCAGCGACGCGCAAGCTGCGCTGATACGGTCTACGTATGCTACCGCGGGGCTCTCGTATGACGACACGGGCTATTTTGAGGCCCATGGCACAGGAACACCCCTCGGAGTTAGTTCATTCCAATTTTTCTTGGTCGCATCACATAACCTGGGAGAATTACTAACGAGTCCTCCCTCGACACACAGGACCCTTTGGAATTGGGCGCCGTTGGAGCCGTATTTGGCCCCTCTAGAAGAGGAACCCGAACTCCCCTACACGTAGGCAGCGTCAAAACCAATATCGGCCATACCGAAGGTAGTGCCGGCCTAGCTGGCGTTGTCAAGGCGGTCCTGGCTGTGGAAAAGGGGTATATACCAGCCAACGCCGGTTTCGAGACGTTAAACCCGAAGCTCCGACTCGATGAATGGGGTCTTGCCTTGCCACTCGAGACGATGCCATGGCCAGTCTCGGGCCTCCGCCGGGCGAGCATCAACTCGTTCGGATTCGGGGGCGCCAATGCCCACGTCATCCTGGATGACGCTCATCACTATCTGGAGTCGCGCAATTTGGTTGGTAACCACCAGACGGCCGTGTCGGTCGACGGAGGGACATCTACTTCATCCGGGAGCGGAGACAGCGGAATCAGTGACGTGCGCAATCATCGGGACGGAAGTAAACAGCTAGGAAGCATCCACGTACGCCCCAAGGTCCTCGCTCTCTCAGCGCACGACCAGGCCGGGATCAAGAGGCTCTCTAGTGCATACGCCCAGTTCGCGGCGGAGTCTCAGCACCGGGAGGGCAGCTTCGTTCACGACATGGCCTACACTCTGGCAGCCAGGCGCACCAAACACCCATTCCGCAGCTTCGCGGTCGCGTCGACTGTAGACGATCTCACGAGCGGTGTTTCCGCGGCGCCGACGATACTGAAACGCTCAGCAAAGAACGGGACGCTGGCTTTTGTGTTCACTGGGCAAGGTGCGCAATGGGCGACCATGGGGAGGGAGTTGCTTGATGTTCTTACATTCAAGGAGAGCGTTCTCAGATCACAGGGGTATCTTGACGCACTCGGATGCAAGTGGAACGCGATCGAGCTACTGTGTGATGAGGATGGCTCCAGATTGGACATCCCTGAGTTCTGCCAGCCCATCTGCACCGTGATGCAGGTTGCCCTGGTCGACTTACTTGGTCACTGGGGCTTGACGGCGAAAGGTACTGTTGGGCATTCAAGTGGTGAGATTGGTAAGAAGTATCCAACGCTGGATGATAATACGACTTTATGCTGACATGTGTGTACAAACAGCGGCTGCTTATGCTGCAGGCGGAATATCCCATGCCAGCGCCATTAAAATTGCCTACTTCCGCGGTCTCTACGTTGAGGAGATCCAGCGCCGTCTCGGAGGTCGCCGGGGCACCATGTTAGCTGCAGGCCTGACCGCCGAAGAGGCGCAGTCAGTCGTGGAGGAGTTCTCTTCCCCTGAACAGATCGCTACGGTGGCCTGCATCAACAGTCCCTCGAGCGTAACCATCTCGGGCGATGAGGACGCTATCGGCAAACTTGAGGCTGTGCTTCAGCAAAGGGGTAAGTTCGCGAGGAAGCTTCGTGTGAAGATGGCGTACCACTCGGCACACATGGAGGTCATCGCGGACGACTTTCTGGCATCCATGGGTGAGCTGGAGCTGAAGGATCAGTTCGCAGCGCCAATGTTCTCTTCGGTCACGGAGGAGGTCTTGGCGAGCCCGTCACAGCTGAGTGCTGCCTACTGGGTCAAGAACATGGTCTCACCCGTACTTTTCAAGGGTGCCGTGGAGGCATTGCTCACTCACTCCGCTCTTGTGGAGGGAGCCAACACCGCACGGAGACAGAGGAAGGTCCCGGTGCGATGGACCGGTTTCGTTGAGATTGGCCCTGCGGGAACGCTTCAAGGACCGCTGGACCAGATCATGAAGGCCGTCAATTCGAAGCTCTCATTGGACCTGACATACACTTCCATGCTCAAGAGAAAGAAGAACGCTATGTCTACCTCGCTCGAGGCTGCGGGTCTACTATGGGCCACTGGGCATAATGTCGACCTGCTGAAGGTCAACGAGGACCCTGACCACCGGAGCGCCCGGTCTTTGGCCAACTTGCCGCCGTACCCTTGGCAACACAGCAAACGCTTCTGGCACGAGGCACCCGAGAGTCTCGCAGTCAGAAAGCAAAAGAGGTCCAGGAGAGATCTCCTAGGCATCGAAGTTCCTAACCAGAACCCCTTCGAGCCCAGGTGGCGAACCCCCTTACGCTTGGAGGAGCAGCCGTGGATGGGTGGCCATGTTATCACTGGCACAGTCCTATACCCGGCTGCCGGCATGCTGATTATGGTCCTCGAAGCCGCCCTGGAAATCGCGGAGAATAACTCGAATGAAACAAAGAAGATCAGGGGCGTCGAGTTGGGCCAGGTCAGCTTCGAGAGAGGCTTGGTGGTCCCCAATGATGATGCCGTCGAGACTCACTTGAGCATGCGACCAGACGAAATGTTCCCTGAAAAGTATCACTGGACCATCTTTTCCATCCCACCTGGCGGGACCTGGCAGAAACACTCATCCGGTACTGTCGTCACTATCTACGAGGACACAGGTTTGGACATTGAGGAATGGCAAGCCCGAGCAGAGAGCTTCGAGGACTTGAAGAAGCGTGCCTCCAGGAAGCTTGACGTCGCAGCCTTCTACGACCAGCTGAGGTCTATCGGCATGGACTACGGGCCCTTGTTCACCAACGTTGTTAACGCCGCCATACTGCCGGGTGAGCAAACAGGTCTTGCGACTGTGTCTATCCCAGACACCAAGTCTACGATGCCGCAGGGCGTCGAATTCCCGCACCATATTCACCCGGCAACGCTCGACGCAATTTTCCATCTCATCTTTATCGCCCTTTTTGAAGGGAATCCCATGGATGAAGCATCCATTCCGGTGACGGTCGAAACCATCTTTATCGCGATGGACCAGCCTTCTGGTGCGGGATCCAAGTACGTCGGGTTCTCAAAGGCGAGGAAGACCAACTCCAGAGAGGCATGTGGCGATATCGTCATCTCGGATGAGAGTTGGTCGGGACCCAAGATCGTCATGCAGAACATGGTGGTCCGTCAGGTATCATCCACTGACGACAAGTCTGAGAGCTCCTCATCGCCCTTCTCTCAAACGCCAAAGAGGGTCGGCCGGCTTGAGTGGAAGGAAGACATCGATGCGCTTGCGGGCAAGGTAGCATCACAAGTCCTCCGTGCAGGTGGATGTCAGGACCGTTTCACTGGTCTGAGCAACCGTGACTTGGCTGCGTACTTGGAACTTCTTACCTATAAAGAGGCGGATTTGAGGCTTCTTGTCCTTCATGCCGAGAAGAACCATGAACTGCAATCTTTGGCAACCATCTTCGCACCTCGAGAGGAGCGAGGTCTCCGCGCCGCTGAGATCAAGTTTGCTGCACCGTCTCAAGAGCTTGCAAATCAATTGCTTTCCCAGCTTGCAGTGACGCAATATCCGCTGCCCAATGGTTCCGACGTTATATACGTGCCATCGCCTGAAGCGCTGGTAGAGGATTCGTCTGATCAGCTTGTTGAGGAGCTGGGTATGTTCGACATCGTCATCGGGGACAGTCGACAGTTGCCCGATGGTGGTGGGAACATTAGGCTGTCTCACATCAAGTCCCTTCTACACCCCGGTGGTCGAGTCGCTTTAGTTGGAGACAAGGTGTCTGCCGCCGACTATCTCAGTGGCGCCGGCTTCGCCCCGGTTGATATCGACTTCAACAACGCAGTGGTTTGCTCGACGAAGGTCCAGAAGAAGCTAGTCCTCTCCGAGATCAACTTGATTGTCCGGCCCTCACCTTCGATAGCAGCTTTGAAAGTCCAAGAGGTCTTGAAACGGAAATTGGAGAGCTCAGGGGTCACGGTCAAGAGCTGTCTCCTCTCCGAGGCCGCCACTTCGGGATCCGAGATCTTTATCTCCCTTCTCGAGTTCGATGAGCCTTGGACAATCAACCTAAGTGCCCAAGACCTGGACGAGCTCCGATCCTTGGTTTTCGGCGCCAAGTACCTTCTATGGCTGACGAACGGCGGCATCGCCGACAGAAGTGAGGCGTCGCTGGCCTTCTCCCCTACCACCGGCTTGTTGCGCACTATTCGAACCGAGGTGCCGCAAATCGTGCTCCCACATCTAGATCTCTCTATGACTTCGGAACTCGGCCCTGAAGAACAGACAAGCTTGGCAATGGAGGTGTTGAGCCTTAGCAGGAAAGACCTATACAAAGGGAAGAATAACGAGATGGAGTTTCTCGAGTCCGGAGGCAGGCTTCTAATTCCCCGGGCCGTGGCAGACTTGCCCTCTGACCACGAACTGGCGTTGCGTTCTGGTCAGCTGAAGTCGGTTCCAGGCGGATTGTGGGCGACTGGCGAGCCTGGAGACCTAAATCCTTTGAAGTTTGACGTCGCTGGGTCCGGTGTCTGGATCGCGGACACAACCCAGAGCGAACCTCTCAACGACGAGGAGATTGAGATCCAGACCAGCCACGTATGCATCAACGGCTCTGAACTTACTCGATCGTCAGGCCAGTTTGGTACAACAATGGCGACGGAGGCTCTGGGACGTGTGGTCCGTCTTGGTACCGAGGTCCCGAACCTCAAAATTGGTGATAAAGTCGTCGTGTTGGTTGATGAAAGCGCACTCAAGACACATATCAGACAGCACTTCAGCCTGGTCCAGAAGGTTCCGGATGATGTCAAGTCTGAGCTCGCCGTTTCTCTACCGTTGAGCTTCATGACGGCCTACCACGCCATCGTGGAAGTTGGTCGTCTTGCAGCAGGCGAGACCGTTCTAATCCACGCCGTGCATGATGCCGTTGGACTTGCTGCCCTTCAGATTGCGACGCAACTGGGTGCGGCAGCGGTCTTTATCACGGCCAATGACGATGAGACGGCATCAGAGCTGGTGGCCGAATACAGCATTCCCCATAGCCATATCATCCGAGCAGAGGACGGTGACATCGTCTCGAAGACCGCCATGAAGCTTACTTCCGGGCACGGTGTCGACATTGTCATCAGCGCTGCGTCGGGCACATCCTTGTACTCCGCCACGAAGACCATTGCTTCCTGGGGGCGGTTCGTACGCATCGGCACCGATAGGGCTCGTCCCCAGGACATCAGCGCCGTTGTGTTCGAGCGCAACGCCTCCATCTCGTCTGTCGATGTCAGACAGCTCCCCCGTGAGAGGCGCTCCCGGCTACTCGCCATGGCGTTCGGATTCTTGCGGTCCGGACTTGTGAAAGAACGGTCTCTTGTGACTAGTGTACGCGCCGTGAAAGACCTGAGCGACATCTTATCCTCGACTACAGTCGAGCAGGGTAACATTGTCATCGAGCTTGGGAAAAAAGCAGTGGTGCCGGTTTTACCGCGACCGCCGGCTCCGCCCCAGTTGGATGCCGACGCAAGTTACCTTATCTCCGGTGGCCTAGGTGCTCTCGGCCTGACTATCGCGAAGAACATGGCTCTTCATGGCGCTCGGCACTTGGTCCTTCTATCGCGATCTGGCGTCGTGAACGCTAGGCAAGAAGACGCCATCCGGGACATCCGTGATCTCGGCTGCGAGGTTGACACTCCCAAATGCGACGTCACAATGCGCTCAGAAGTTGAAGATGCGATACGAAGATGTGAAACGAGCGGACGAAGGCTTCGAGGCGTGATCCAATGCGCCATGGTCCTTCAAGACTCCATCTTGCAGAACATGACCATCGAGAAATGGAACACCGCGACGCGTCCCAAGATTGTGGGGACGTGGAATCTCCACTCCACGGTGCCCACAGACCTCGACTTCTTCATTCTTCTGTCCTCCATGTCCGGCATCATCGGGAACAGCGGACAGGCTAATTACTGCGCGGGCAACGCGTACGAGGACGCCATCGCGCTTCACCGTCGGTCCTTGGGTCTAGCGGCGACGACGCTGAACGTTGGGCTGGTGACGGACGCGAGCCATTTCAATGCGACGTCTACGGCCGACGATTACCTCAGAAAATACGGCCACTGGGAGTCGGCGAGGGTGACGGACGACGAGATGCAGGCCGTCATCGAAGCCGTCCTCCGCCAGAGTGCCGGGGATCTGCCGGAGCAGCTCCTCGTCGGCATCACGGATGATGTGAAGCGCGACGGTCGCGCAGCGTGGCCACAAGACCGCAAGTTTGAGCACCGCATCGCGCGAACTGGGTCGTCTGCCGCTAGTGCAGACCCCAACGGCGCGAACGCGGAGAGACTCGGAGACGAGTTAGGCCGGGCGAAGACATTGAAAGAGGCTGTTATGGTCGTCCTCGGCGCTCTCAAGGCTAACCTCGCGGCGGCCATGACGGCCAGTCCGGACGATATCGATGAGGAGAGGCCGCTTTACAGCTTTGGTGTCGACTCGCTCAAGGCGGTCGAGGTGCGCAATTGGATCTTCAAGGAGCTACGATGCGACGTGTCTGTTTTTGATATTCTGAGCCCAAGCCCGCTCGCTAAGTTGGGGCCGAGGATCGTGGCTAGGAGCGCGCTAACGCCACCCGAGATTGCAAGTCAGGCGTTAGCGGATGCCTAATCCATGTTAGTAGGGATGAGGCTGTCAAAAGAATGGGGCAATGCGATCATGATCTCTCTGTCTCTTGTTTCAGTAAGGTTCTGATAGTCACTGAGGTCTTTGTTCAACTGATGAATCCACTGATATATTTCACAGCCATAGGGCAAGTAAGTAGGTATCGAGTTACAATATAGTGGATTGCTTTGTATTTCAGAAAAGAGCCAAAGGATTGAACTTGTAGTTACTCTGCGATCCTAGTTCAAAGAGACCTTTTAAAAATACTCTTGGATAAATAACGTAGATAGAATTTGGTACTGCGATGACATTATCGCGTACGGTCAGGTGACTAGTGTCTAGGTTTAGGCTGATACAACACGGCGTGATGTTAAAAAAATCAGAATGTCATTTCGGTTACATGTAAATATGTCTGTAATTGTGTGGACTTTTTTCATGTCTAATCTTTTCGCCGATAAGCTTTCAAGGGGCGAGGACGCATACGTTGGATGGCCGCTTCAAAAAGAAAGACGCTTCTATCAATGTTCGCTTTATAAGATCAACAATACAAAATACATGTTGGACTTTTACCATGATCATCACAATCACCACTTGATCGACATTTTCCCTCGCAGGCGCTCGACCCGCTCCATGACCCCTCTTAACATCCCGAGAGTCGCGCTGCACTGCATCTCTTTCATATGTCCTCCGGTAGTATTTTGGAGGTCTGTCAACATCCCAACCAGTATCTTCAAGCGGTGGCGAACAAGCCGCTTTAGAAACGTCAACTTCAAGTCTTCGTCTAAGACCTCGTAGTCGCCTATCCGCAACTCTGTCGTATGTATCAATGACTGTTTGCGAGAGGGCGCCGCCATCGTCCCCCCCGGCGCTGGTATGTAAAGCTTCCCCAGTCCGACTCCGCTCGCGGAGGGCTGGCTGCGGTGGTTGCTTTGATACGCCGCGCCGATATTGCTATCCCCGGCGGTATTCCTGTTCGGACCACTTGACCCGCCTCGGATGGAGCTTTGATGATCTACGACGGCCACATTGGGCTTGAATTTCTCGATGAAGCAATCCAATAGTCGGGTCGCCTGGTCCATGATGATGGAAAGTAGTAGTAAGCTGCTGTCATTTGCTAGGCAATGTGGGCAATTAAGGAGTCCCTTTGTGAGCGCCTGCATATTCCGGTCAATTTGCAGAATCGTGTCGACATTTGGGGTGACCGAGGAGTTGGTGAGGCTATTTAGACCAGCGAGCTGTTGGCTGAGACAGCGGTAACAGTCGTTGCTGCACATAAGAGAGGATGAGGTCAATGCCGATGTGGAAACGGGGAGAGGCTGTGCGTGAAAGTGCATTGATGTTTCTTCAGGGCCAAACATGTCGGACACTGCTGCCACCGCCGCAGCCGCGCCACTTTCAGACATATTCATGGTGGAAGTCGAAGGGCGTTTAGTCGCGCCAGTAAGAGCTTCACTTCCAAACTGCTCGAGTTGGTCCACTGGGGTATTGTAATGACTTGGTTCGGTAGCCCAGTTCTGGAGATCCTCAAACGTCGTCTCGGTCAAACTGACGGCGGCGAGAGACTCCGAAGATGCCGGGTCAGTCGTAAACAGTGTGTCCATCACCACGCCAAACTGATGATTGCTGTCTGACACTGGCTGATGCAGAGCGCTAGGGATCACTATCGTGCTAGCCCCGTCATCGTTAACGCCAGACATGGCGTCGAGGAAGGCATCTGTGAAGGGCGAAATTGTCTCGTGGAAAGCTGGGGTTGTAACTTTATGCAAAGGGATAGATGTCGCTTGTCCACCATGGCTTTGTCCCATACTCGCAGCCTCGCCTTCGTGGTTCTCATCCTGGCCGCCTCCTCTCGCACCTGCGACACCCGAAGATGTTACTGCTGACGATGACGGAGGCGGCGGCGGTTGCCGTTGCTGTAGGGGTTGCTGCTGCTGTTGTTGAGTCGAGTCTTCTAGCTGATGGGAAGAATGCTTGCGAGGCCGGCCGAGCCGGCGGATCGGAGAGTATACGCACGGGAGACCAAGTCGGGCACACCGTCGACACGCCGGCTTTTCCTGAGAGCACTTGAGCTTCGTATCCTGACAGCGGTCACAAGAGTTGCGGAGCCTGAACTGCCTGTTCGGGTGGTTCCCCGCCTGGTCTCGGCTTCCCTGGCCCTCTGTGACAGGGGCTGGACTAGCTTCCCCAGGCTGTATCTCGGTATTGCTCATGTCGTATACGAGGTTATTTAAGGTAAGTCAAACCCCCCACTTCCTGGCACCCCCCTGTTTCTGGCACCCACAAAAACGATGGGATCACAACCCAACCTCCTCATTACTATTAACTATTGATCCTCAACCACACCCACTACAATACAACTGCCAGCCTCACTAGGGCATTCAGAGTCGCTGGATTCAGCCGTAATAACCTCCTTTTCACCCGCTTCGATTTGAGCCCGATGGATATCCCTGATGTTCGCAAACTTCGTGTTGGGATCGATCTGAACAGTCTTCCTCTTCCTAACTGCAGCGTTGGTAACTTGAGCCCTCAGGTGAGCCAGCTGCTGCTGGGCAGCTGCCAGTTGCCAGGCCTGCTCTGTGAAGCCTTTTTTCACCTTCCTGAACAGCAGCCGTTGAGTGCTGGTATCATTGTCGAGTTGGGTGTATAAGTGCAGTTGACCGCTGAGCTCTGCCAGCTTCCTGGGTGTCGACCAGACCACTGCAGAGGAAGCAGAATCCCATGGCTCAACAGGGGTAGTTTGTTGACCATTATGGCATCGCTTTTGCCCCGACTGGTTGGTTTGGGTGTGGTGGGCTTAGCAGAAGGCTCAGGTAATACCATAGGGTTCATCAGGGGCTTAACCATCGCTACAGGGTGTAGACCAGTCCACTTCCAACCACTTCTGATGTTCGAGACTGATAGACCAGCAAGTCAGCCTTCTGGTAACAGTCCAGGAAGTTCCTTTTACCTATAATGGTAGAGTCGTTCCATTGAGACAAGTAACCGAGCTCCTTCCGATAGGCTGACTTAACAGGGCTGAAGACAGACTGGTCAAGTGGCTGGAGGACATGAGAGGAGTGTGGTGGTAAGAACAGTAAATGGATATTGTTAATATAGCAATTCCACATGAAGTCTGTCGTCGTATGACTCCCATGCCCATCCACAATCAACAGTCGAGCCTCGCCCTCAGCCTCGGGCATAGTCTGTGGGATAAACACCTTCTCTAACCATTCAATGGCAGTTAAGTCTGTAGTCCAGCCATTATCTGTTGCTGTAAACTCCCACCCATCGTATGGAACCAGATGTAATGGAAACCACTGTTGTTGGACCGTCTTCCCTTGAAAATGATAAGAGGACGAAGTGCCCTACCCAAGGCTGAGATACACTCAATGATAGAGACCCATGCCCTCGACCCAGGTTGTTTCTTGCGAACAGACGTCGTCTCAGCCATGCCCAGCACTAACCCATTAGCTCCCTGACCCTCGAGGATGCCAGTCTCATCCATATTATATCTGTTGGCTGGTTTGATGTCCTTGATCTCAGGGATAGCAAGGAACTTAAACCAGTTCCTAATGACCTCAGTAGATGCCCCATTAACGCGTCTAGAATCGATGGAACGACTTCTCTGAACCTTAATGATAGGGTTCCTTCTCACGAAGGCATAGATCCAGCCTTTTCCTAATGGTTTGGTATCCCCAGCAGCAGCCAGAACTCGCTCTGCGAATTCCTTCACCTGTTGGTGCGTTGGTGCGAGGCCCAGCGAAGCCTGAATGCGAACCCATTGTGCCAGCTTCTCCTGGTCAGGAGACAGCCTCTGCCAGTCAGCAAAAGCCACTTTCCTAGTCTGACCACCTTGGAGACGTAGTTGGAGGGTTGATCGTGGTATCCCATACTCCAATGAGGCTCTCTTTGACTCTGCCGTTTGAGATGTCCTCGAGAGCCTGACGAAGCTGATCTTCGGTATATTGAGGCATTAGATATAGAAGAAGGTATGTGCAAAAAATGAGCCCATTTGGACTCGAATTGAAAATGTTGTGATAAAAGGAGGTTGGGGGTGGGCATTGCGTTGTGGTGGATTTTCGCGTTTTTGTGGGTGCCAGAAACAGGGGGGTGCCGGGAAGTGGGGGGTTTGACTTAATATGTACCTTCGACTGGTTGAAGTTGCCCTTTTCCACCCTTTGCTGGATGGTCCGGCATCCGTCCCAACCATAAGAAGGCGAGCTAAAACTCGTCACCCGATTATGAGGCAGACAAGATTTGGCACCTTCACTTTTATATCTGCTGATCATCCCACAGGCATTCACTAGAATACTAGGCAGCCGGACTCCTTCGTCTGCAGAGATGTGGCGCTGGGTAAGCGCTTTACTTGATGGAGGTACATCTTCTGGGCTTATGTCTGTTGATAGCGTGGTTCCTCCGTAGGCGCACATCACGCCGCGGACGCGCACGTTACGGAGTAGTCAGTCCAATTAGATGCAAGAGATCAAGCTTGTTCCACTTAAAGGATTTGCTCGTTGACCGAGATACAAGTCCGGCTTCCCGTCTCTCAAACTCACAAAAGTCTCCTTCATAATTTTCCTAAGGAATGTGCACTTTACAATTCTCAAGCTAAGACGACAATGACTTGACGGAGATAATCTGACCGGCATTACCCCGCGTATGGTCAAGAAACTCTCAAGTAGGTTGACGGCTCCAGTCCGACCCCCTGTCCGAAACCTTTGACATCCAGCATGAAGACACCAGACCCCTGTCAATTCATGTACATGTAGGCACATTCCCACAATGCAACTCACAACTATGGTGATACAACCCGAATTTGAAAACCATGAACGAGATGTTGGACGCAAAAAAAGCGCAGCCATGGAAGCACTAAGCAAGGTACGACTGAATGCTTTTGACATGACATAGGGCGTGGGGGGTGGCTTTACGTCTGTCAGATCTAGCCTACATGATTCGGCTCGGCCGCGCCCGCCACAGGCGAGTTGATAAGTACTTTGGTCCAATCGGCCCATTACGCCGCGGTATCGCATAGAATGCAAGTGATTTGTCCATCAGCCACTTTCTCAAAAAAGGCAGTTGTCAAACAAGCATGACAGGCCCGGGTGGTTGATCGGGTCTTTTTTCACTATCACGGATAGACGGATCACAAGTTCTTCCTTCTAAGACTACATCAATAGGCCCTCTTGTGAACAGAGTTTCGTCAGCAGAGTCAAGACTGAACTACACGGTTGGCTAGAGAGATCCAAAAGAGACAACATACATCTTCAAAATGGTGGCAAACAAGTCATTGATCTTCAAGAAGGTCCACGAGACACCCACGGTGGCGGGGCAGGATATCGCTGTGGAGAGCAGAGACTTCAATCTTGACCAGGTATGCACACACGCAACGGATATCAGCCGTCTGTCATTGACAGCTTGGCCATTCGAGTACAATTTTGGCGTTTTGCTAACACGTTGATTTAGGAATTGCTGGGAGGTTCCATCTTGGTACAAGTTCTATATGTCTCATTCGACCCGTACATGAAGGGTCGCATGGTTGAGAAGCCGGTTATGGGCCCTTACAAGCTCAATGAGCCCATCCCGAACACAGCCCTCGCCAAAATCCTTCGATCCAAAAATGAAGGATTCCCGGAAGGCGCCATAGTCAGGGGGGAATTCCCAATCAGCCAGTACGCCGTCGCCACTGCCGAGGACTTACAGGCCGGATGGGCACACCTGATCGAGAACCCGTTCAATTTCCCACTTGACACGTTCCTTGCTGGCCTGGGGATGCCCGGGCTCGCCGCCTATGCCTCTCTCTACGAGATAGGCAAGCCCAAAAAAGGCGAGACCTTGTACGTCTCCGCTGCAGCCGGCGCCGTGGGCCATGTAGTCGGGCAGATCGCCAAGCGCGAGGGTCTACGTGTCATTGGCTCTGTGGGCGCGGACGAAAAGGTCGACTATCTTGTGAGTGAGTTCGGCTTCGACGCTGTGTTCAATTACAAGAAGGAAACGGTCGACGAGGGCCTCGCCCGTCTTGCACCCGACGGAATCGACATCTTTTACGACAACGTCGGCGGTGAGACGCTAGATGCGGCTCTATTAAAGATGAACCCATATGGACGAATCATCGCCTGCGGAGCCATCAGCCAGTACACGCGTGTTCAAGGCCCTTACACGGGCTATGGAGTTACCAATATCTTCAACATCACCGTGAAGCGAGTCACCATGGCTGGCTATATCGTGACTGACCCAAACATTGGTCCCAAGTATGGCGCGGAGCATATGCAGAACGTGTCAAAGTGGATTCATGATGGTAGCTTCACCTCCAAGTCGACTATCGTGGACGGCGTGGATCAAGCAGCCGATGGATTTGTGGGCATGTTTTACGGCAAGAACATTGGAAAGGCTGTCCTCAAGATCTAGAATACTGCCCTATGAAATTAGATACAATTTGTGATTCTACTTAATTTTGACAAAACCTCCTGCTATTTTTCTAAATTGCTGTCGCGATGAGTCCTAGTAACGCATTTGCAACGCACGGTCTTGGATACGTGCCTGTGCTCGTTTAGCTACAAATGGATGAAAGAAAGAAAGAATGAGAGAGCCCTCACTTGAATTGGGGTCAAGGGCCCAATCGAAAAAAAGGGCTAAGAAATGTGCGGTCGGGATAGCCCGTTTGACTTCATGGCGGCAGGGACTTTCTGGATTCGTCTAAGTACGGTGGTGGTTTCAAGCCTCCGAATCCTTCTAGTTCATCCTTCTGACTAGATAGCTGCCATCCCACCACTCAAAGTGCAAACCTTAAAGACACCCAAAAAGCCCCCGAAGAGGTAAGCATTTAAGTATCCGAAATTCCCAAGCACCCAGGATAGTTGGTCAGTGGCAATCAGCAGCCAATAGGTGATCTGTATAATCCAACATGCCGTGCCGAATCCTTTGCCTCCATGGCATGGGCATCAACAGCCAGATATTTGCCTCGCAGACAGGTGAGTCATTTTCATGCTGTCTTATCTCGCGCTATTAGCACTACTGACTCAATTCACAGAATCCTTTCGGAGTTTGCTGCCATCGGACTACGACTTCACATTTGTTGATGGCCCGACCACTTGTAAGCCAGAGGTGGCCATAGCCAAGGTGTATCCAGGCCCGTACCTTTGCTGGTATAGAACGCCGACTACTGAGTCGGTGACCGCGGCCCACCATCACGTCAAGTCCATCATGGCCGAAAAGGGCCCTTTTGAAGGAATCATGGGGTTCAGCCAGGTGAGTTTCACTAGGAGCGTTCCGTCTGTCTCATATGAGTTTCTGATTCTAACAAACTTGGCCGTAAGGGCGCCGCAGTCGCGGTGTCGATGATCTTGCGCCACCAGCTTGAAAACCCGTCAGCACCACCCCTCTTCAAATTTGCCATTCTCATCGGCTCCCCTTTGCCCTTCTCACACAGCCTGATGTATGGGATTGACACGCGGGATTACTTTGGCGTCTCTTGCAACATGGACTGTAGCGTGCTTGCTCGGTACAATCGTCCTAACAAGGTCCCTACATATCTTATTACCCCAGACAGGTACCTCAAAGACGACGACGATGAGGACTTCGACAAAACCGAAGAGGCGTGTCAACAGCCGACCGCAGCAATATTCTACCAAATGTTCCATTCAACATCAGATGAGGTCAGAATGGACATTCCTACTGTTCACATATTTGGCCGGCGTGATCCGTGGTACCTTCATAGTAAAGATGTGCTACAGCTGGCATGTGCTGAACGGGCTTCGGTGTTGGAGCATTGTTATGGCCATGAAGTCCCGCGACACCTGAGTGAGGAGATTTGCGATTTGATTGAGTCGGCGGTCGCCTTGGTTGAGGTTTAGTGGAAGAAATTTGAACCATTTCCTAGTCTACCTACTCCGGATTCAGAGTCTCGAGTTTTGCAACGATTTTTAATTCATCCTTGAGTTCCAGAGCAAACATATGTAACTACTTTACCTTATTTAATGTACTTCATCTTAACGACCGAATAAACCGACCATTATATTCATGTTTTAAACCAGATCTTTGATAAAAAATTTGTATGTACTCGTTTACCCAGTACCGTTAGTCTCGCCATTGCTCGTTCCGTGCCCAACACCCACGTACTCATCTACCTTTCCAGCCAAGACATTCTTGATAAAGTCCACCTGCATCTTAATCAGTTCGGGGAACTCTGGACCACTGAGCACATTAAGGTGTCCTTTGCCAATAGACACGTGCGCCTTTTTCGGGCCTGGAAACGTGTGGAACAGATCAAATTGCTGGTCTGGGGGCGAGATCTGGTCCAGCTCGGGAATGACCATGAGAACGGGCGTTTGGTACATGTACTTCATTATACCATGGGGCTGCCACATAATGAGCTTGTAGTACGACTGAAGCGTCGTTCTGTTCTCGTGGCGACTGGCGCCGTACTTCTTGGCGTTGACCATGTAATCAAACTCCTCCTTGTCGGCGCCGATACCCAGGCCGGCGGGATTGACGCCGTCCTCGGTCAGCACAGGCAAAAAGACTGGCGGGTTGCCGGCGGCGCGGGACTCGCGGTCGGCCATGCTGCGTGCGAGAACGCGGGGGAACTTTTGCGGCGTGAGCTCAAAGTCCAGCAGTGGGCAGATGGAGACGACCATGCGTGCGCGCTTGTCGAGGGCGCCAGCACAGAGTGCGACGCAGCCGGCAAAGGACTGGCCCCAGAAGAAGATCTGCTCCGGATCGACCTCGGGGAGGCCGCGAAGGTAGGTCAGCGCATCTGAGTAATCTGAGACCTGCTTCATCGGGTCGATCTCGTTCCGGGGCTGACCATCGCTGAGGCCTAGGCTGCGTGGGTCGTAAATGAGTGCTGAGATTCCGGCAAGCTGGAACTGTTCGGCCACCTCTGGCACAAACATCTCCTTTACGCAGTTGAACTAGGCGGGAGCTGGGTGTCAACCTGGGGAACGCCTTTGAAAAACGAGTAGGGAGTTTCATATGAGATTCTTACCCCGGGAGTAATGATGGCTGCAGGACCACGACCAGGTGCGGGATAGAAGCAGCCCCTGAGGGTCAGCCCATCCACGGTCTGGAACTCCACGTCGCGGAAGGAGGTACTCATTATTGCAGTTGAGACGCAGGATTTGACAGAAGAGAACTTGTTTGGTAGGGCTATCTAGTCACCGAGATGGCAAATTTTACGCATTGCAAGCGCATTAGGCGTTCCTTATCAGACAGTTGACCTTGCAATGGGCGAGTTCAATGCAACAACTGAAAGGTCTACGGCGTAGGATAAACTGCCCGAAGTCTTCCACTTGCACCGGCCACTTTCAAGACTAATAGTGTTGACACCCAGGTCAAGAATTGTTTCACCCAATCAGCATGTCGGATTATTCCCTGTAAGAATATCCCCGAGCCGTGGGCATGCCATAGCAAGGCTGATGATTAGGGGCGTGCTATGGGCGGATGGGAGAGCCATTCAACTGATGGTGAGGGTTTGCCACGATGACCCAAAATGGAAACCATCCGAGGCATTCCCGAACTCCATAAAATGTGAAAATACATGTAAGTCGTCGGTGAATGTTTCTCAAACCATTATTGGAAGCACTCGCATCACTTTAGAACGGTCAGGACACTCTCAAGGCCCTCTCTTGTTCGAAGAGAAGTTCGTTGTGTGGCTCTATTACCTTCTTTCTCGTTCCTGCTTCTTCGAGATTCAGTGTATACTGACTGATTGCCCGCTTTGGATTACCAAGGAACCAGGATCTCGCGACCATCGTCTATAGACTGTCGATGTTATCTACCTTACTTAAAGGCTTCTCTACCCTATTCCCTCTTCAAATAGCCAGGCCTAGCCTAGACCTGCACAACTGCAGTCAAGATGACGATCAACGACGGGAGAAACGGTGCGTACACGATTCAGAACAACAATCATCCGACCAACGGTATCAACGGCGCTACTTACACCGATGGAACCAACGTGATCAACGATACCAACGGCTATAATGGCAGCAGCGTAAACGGCCCCACCACCGGCCCACCTCAAGCCCATGAGCCGATCGCCGTCATCGGAATGGGATGCCGTCTGCCGGGCGAAGTCGACAACCCGCATGCGCTGACGCAGCTCCTGAAGCGCGGCGGTGTCGCCCGTAACGAGCCGCCCGAATCTCGCTTCAGCTTGGACGGCCACCATGACGGATCCAAGAAACCCAAAACAATGAGGTCTCCGGGCGGCATGTTTCTAGAGAAGATTGACCCACGTGAGTTCGACGCCGGCTTCTTCCAGGTCCCCCGGCTCGATGCCATCGCAATGGACCCGCAGCAGAGACAGCTCCTCGAGGTCGTATACGAGTGCCTGGAGAATTCAGGTGTGACGTTGCAAGAGCTGCAAGGGGCTCAGGTTGGATGCTTCGTTGGATCCTACGCCGTCGGTACGTTCCTTTCTCGTCTGACTTCGTTCAGGACAGACCTTTGCCCTGGGTGCTATTATGGGATGAACCTTGGCTTACAGCAATACGAAATTTGCAGACTACGCCGACATGCAGGCCCGCGATCCCGAAGACCGCGCTCCTTCTGTCACAATTGGCGTCGGTCGGGCCATTCTAAGCAATAGGATCAGTCATTTTCTGAACATCAAGGGTCCCAGGTAAGCGCATCCATCCGTCTTACCCGGCGGGCCCCCACGGATCCTGCAGCCACATCTGACACCTGTCTCGGTAGTATGACAATAGATACAGCCTGTTCGGGCAGCCTGGTAGCTCTCGATGTGGCATGTCGCTACCTACGTACCCGGGAGATGGACGGAGCAATTGTTGCCGGCTGCAACTTGTACCTGAGGTGAGCATTAGAACGAGTATCCCTTCTTGGCCGTCGTGTTCTTAATCAGGAAACACTGTCTGACTCTGGAGGGGTGAGTCTAGCCCGGAACACAACATGGATGTCGGCCCAATGAAGGGAGCCTCGAGTTTATCTGGAAAATGCCACACCTTTGACGTCAAGGCGGACGGTTACATCAAGGGTGAGGCCGTCAACGCCGTAATGGTGAAACGCCTCTCGGACGCCCTCCGTGACGGTGATCCTATTCGCGCCGTGATACTCGGCACCGCTACCAATAGTGACGGCAACACTCCCGGCATCGCCAGCCCCAGCTCGGAGGCACAAGCAGCGGCCATCCGTTCGGCTTATGCTAACGCTGGAATCACAAACTTTAACGAAACCACGTATCTCGAGTGCCATGGCACCGGGACACAGGCAGGCGACCCGACCGAGGTTAGTGGTATCGCCTCAGTTTTTGCGCCATCGCGTAGTCCCGATCAGCCTTTGATAATCGGCTCCGTGAGTCCATCCTTTCCACTGCAGGTGAAATGACACAAGTTGAACACAACTGACACCTACCCAGATCAAGAGCAACATTGGTCACTCCGAGCCGGCAGCAGGCATCTCAGGCCTTATCAAGACCATCCTGTCTCTCGAGACTGGCACCATTTTCGGCAACCCTACCTTCGTGACTCCCAACCCCAAGATCGACTTCAAGGGCCAGAAGGTCTTTGCAACTCGCACTAGCATACCCTGGCCAACAGGAGCGCGCAAGCGGGCGTCTGTAAACTCGTTCGGATATGGCGGTTCTAACGCTCATGTCGTCCTCGAGTCGGCGGATCAATATCTCCAGAATAGACAAATCTCCTCCCACGTCTCTTCACACCTCGCCGAGGAGGCTGACCTCTTCGGTGACGAGGATGATGCTTCATCCACGGCATTAGTCGCAAAGAAGCCCCAGCTGCTTGTCTTCTCGGCTAATAACGAGTTTTCGCTCCGCGGCTACGTGAAGCTGCTGCGCAAGCACCTTCTGAACCCGAGCGTCAAAGCTGACTTGCGAGACCTATCTTTCACACTCTCGAGCAAGCGCAGCGCGCACTTCAATCGGGGATTCTTGCTGGCGGATAAGGCGGTAATAGCCGAAGACTCTCTCGTTCTGGGGAAGAAGAGCCCGGAAGCTCCGAAGATCGGCTTTGTTTTCACCGGCCAGGGCGCTCAATGGTCGCAAATGGGAAAGGCTCTTGTCGATGCCTTCCCTACCGCCAGGAACTTGCTGAAGCATCTGGATACTGCCCTCAAGACCGCTCTTGTCCCTCCAACGTGGTCTTTGCTCGGTATTTTCTCCTCGTCCCTGACGCATTCTTGATCCTAATTACTCACACCAATGCAGATGAACTGGTAGAGCCGCGCAGTCCTGGTCTCCTTCGCCAGCCCGAGTTTTCTCAGCCACTCTGCACAGCACTTCAGCTCGCCATCCTGAGCGTGCTGGAAGACTGGGGCGTCGCCCCGCACAGCGTGGTCGGTCACTCATCGGGCGAAATCGCTGCTGCATATGCTGCGGGCTATCTGTCCAAGGAAGACGCGATTAAGGTTGCCTACTACCGCGGCCTAGCTGCCAAGCAGCTCGCCAACGTCGTAGATGGCACCAAGAACGTAGGTATGCTCGCGGTCGGGCTGGGCGCTGAAGCCGTAATGCCCTTCTTGGAACCCTATGCTGGCCTAGTGCACGTTGCCTGCTTCAACAGCCCCAGCAGCGTCACCTTGTCTGGCAAGGTGGACAAGCTCGAGGAGGTGATGGCCGCACTTGTGGCAGAATCGCATTTTGCCCGACTGCTGCAGGTGAACCTGGCATACCACTCGCCCTTCATGCTGGAAGTGAGCAGTCTGTATGAGGCTCTGCTTCGCCAGGACTTTGGCGCATGCAAGAAGGACAGGAAACATGAGAACGTCCGGATGTTTTCATCCGTGTCTGGCAAAGAGATGCGCCACGCTGCTGATGCGGCGTACTGGAAGAGCAATATGAGCTCTGCGGTACGATTTGAGCAAGCTACCAAGACCATGCTCGCGGATGACGACCGTCCGGACTTCCTCGTCGAGATCGGCCCCAGCGGTGCGCTCTCAGGTCCTGTGGCCCAGGTGAAAAAGGCTGTCCTTGGAGATGGCGCTGAAGTCCATTATGTTGCGGCCTGGTCTCGTGGTCCTGCCGCGCTCAAGTCGC